GGAACTTAAGTAATCCGCTTTCAACTCGTTCATACGCATTCTACTAATTCCATCTTCAATTGCACGAACAACATCTAAATATGTCTTCTTGTGTTTCAGTGCAATAGCTAGTGAAGCATTCATAGACTCGCACCTTTGTGTTGAGCGAATATTGGCAAAGAAATGACCGGTTAGATATGCTTGTGCCCATAAGTGTCGTGTATTTCCCTTCTCAATCAGCCATGGATGCTTTTGGACGTTGAATTCTGAAACAATCGAACGCCATTGAATATCAAATTCCTTGGTTGTCCACCAGGAAGCCATGCATTTTGAGAATGCTGCTGTAAACTTTGGGTCACCAATGTTAGCTTGTGCATTGCGAGAAAGATGCAAAGAACATAATCTGTGCTTAGCATAAGGGATAACAGATTTGATAGCCCTCTGCATTGCCCTATCCCCATCGGTTACAACGGAAATAGGTGATTAATTCATCATGGCTTCTAAAATATTCTGTAGCACCCACTCGAAAGATTGAGACGTCTCGTCAGCGATTATGGCAGTGGCAAACACAATTGTGTTATGGTGATGATTGACACCAACAATAGGCATAATTGGTCGACCATACAAATTATCTTTGTACGTTGTGTCGAACGCAATTACATCACCGAAACATGTGTAATCCGATCTCGATGTAGAATCCGACCAAATAAGATTATACAATGCCCCCGATTCGTCTACCGAGTATGTCATAAAAAACTCGAGATCATCATGTTTCTTATAATCAAAGTAGGCAATAAGCGCATTCACATCCCCATCGATGATTTCCTTTGCTTTACCTCTTTGAAGTGCATTGTAGAGGTCTTTATGTGTAAATCCAACATTTTGATAGCCCCCTGCCTGCTGCGTTAAATAGTTCATTACTTGTGACGTGCCAACACCGACCTCTTTCAATGTTGTTGCCTCATCGATATCAGCCTTACTTACAGCTCTATTAGAACGCATAAATGGTGTCATATCAGATGTGCACAATGCATGATTATGTTTCTGATCAGACTTACTTATAACCCACTGATCGTTTGTATTTGTTGCTGTAACTACGACTCTAGCCTTACATCCTGTTCTTGTGACTGGCGTATGAGCACGTTGACGATCAACAGTATTGACTTTTGATACTCGAAACCCTTCTTTGGAACAACAAAATTCATGTGTCTTCAAATTCCCTTCCACGTCAAGCCGTGTTGTTCCCTTACGTGCACTAAACCCATGTTCCCGTGCGAATCCCTTGTAAAAGTGCCAAGCTTGATCACGTGAACAGAAGAGCTGACCAACCAATCTGTCAGATTCATCAACATTATGTACTTCATGGCATTCCTCGGTTGGCTTAACATTGTCTACATCAGTATTATCCATGGCAAAAATTTTGTTGTGCAAGTTCAGTGCTCCAGGAGTTGATGGAGATGTAAGCAAAGGTTCATTTTGAACATGTTTCAGTCGTGCTGCTTTCAATAGGATGTGGCATTGGTAGTGGTAGTTAAAGGGTGGGTACACCATTAAATTCGCAGTATATTTAGGTATGTACAATAACTACAAGTATATATTATCATTAAATTTAGGTATGTACAATAACTACATATTTAGGTATGTTTGTTAACTACATATTTAGGTATATTAGTGAGTTTTAGTATTATAGGCGTCTAATGATTTATTTTTTATGTTACGGTATATATTATTAAAATTAAAAACAATAAACATATATATATATATTTATTATTATCTTTGGTTAATGTTGTTAAATTTAAATTATAAATATTATTTTATAAAATATCAAAACAATCAAATAATTTTTGTGTAAATGAAATTATTAAATTAATATTGTAGGTGGAAAACATGAAACACTGTTAAAAAAATTGAAACATAAATTACATAACTTTTAAAAAAAGTATCGATCATTTTTATAAAAAGTATGGACACTTTCAATATAATAGGTAAACATATGATGTAATAGGTTGCGCTTATATAATGTAATAGGTATCGTTTATATAATGTAATAGGTAGTGGTTATATTGTAAAGTATCTATCCTTTTTATAAAAGTGTCCATACTTTTTACACTGTGGAAAACATTAAGGTTATCTTTTGAGTGAGTTTTAAGATATTAATTTAGTAATTATAGGTGTCTAATGATTTATTTTTTACGTTACGATATATATTATTAAATTACAAATTCTAAATATTATTTTATAAAATATCAAAACAATCAAATAATTTTTTGTGCAAATAAAATTATTAAATCAAATTACTTTATTCCAACCATGTGACAAGTGTGACAACTCCATCAACTCACAACTCAGCTTTGAACTCAATCAATATTGTCTTTTAGCTTGATGGTTCATAAAGCATGTTACTTGAACAGTATGAATCAATTATGCAATTTTCATGTTCAATTTAACACTGCATTTCAAATTCATTTCATATGTAATTGGAGTTTGAATTTAAATTTCAATTTGAGTTTGAATTTCAATATATATTTCGGCTCCACTATAAATATTAGCCCAAGCCAATATGCATGTTATCATTGATTATTCCTAATTTCCATTGTTTTTTTCCAACGTTTAAACGCGAGGGAAATCCCGACCATTGTATTTTTTGGTCAACTTTAAAGCGTCAGAAACGTTTCGGGCGTATGATCTGGGTGGTAAACAAATAGCAACTAAAATCATAAGTCCGAAATGCTTCTGAGTACCACCCAAATCATAAGTCTGAAATACTTCCGATGCTCATCAAAATCCAAAGCTCATATGGTGCCAAGCAAAAGGAAATCAAAAATCTCATATGATGCCAAGCAAAAGGAAATCAAAATCTACAACTTGAGTTTGAACATTGATATGATATGTTCAGTTGTTATCATGTTAGGATTTTCTCGTTTTTGATTGCTTGGATAGTTGTTCTCTTGCTTCTTCAAGTGTCCTTAGCTTGTAATTTATAGCTTGGAATGTGTTTGATGTTGTATATATTATTATTAAATTAAAAACAATAAACATATATATTACATATTTATTATTATCTTTGGTTAATGTTGTTAAATTTAAATTATAAATATTATTTTATAAAATATCAAAACAATCAAATAATTTTTTGTGTAAATGAAATTATTAAATTAATATTGTAGGTGGAAAATATGAAACAGTGTTAAAAAAATTGAAACATAAATTACATAAATTTTAAAAAAAGTATCGATCCTTTTTATAAAAAGTATGGACACTTTCAATATAATAGGTAAACATATGATGTAATAGGTAGCGCTTATATAATGTAATATGTATCGTTTATATAATGTAATAGGTAGTGGTTATATTGTAAAGTGTCTATCCTTTTTATAAAAGTGTCTATACTTTTTTCACTGTGGAAAACATTAATTTAAGATTATCTTTTGAGTGAGTTTTAAGATATTAATTTAGTAATTATAGGCGTCTAATGATTTATTTTTTACGTTACGATATACATTATTATTAAATTAAAAATTCTAAATAATATTTTATAAAATATCAAATAATCAAATAATTTTTTGTGTAAATGAAATTATTAAATTAATATTGTAGGTGGAAAACATGAAACACTATTAAAAAAAATTGAAACATAAATTATATAACTTTAAAAGAAGTATCGATCCTTTTTATAAAAAGTATGGACACTTTAATATAATATAATGTAATAGGTAAATTTGCAATACTATCGGTATAAATATACCGGATTACTTATAAAATAGGTAAATATAAGCGCTACCTATTACATTATATAAGGGTTACCTAGTATGTTATTGTACTTTATAATATTTCTGGTTAAATAATATAACATAACCGGTATAAATTTTAACCGGTCAATTGTTTAACCGGTCACGCCGTATATTAGCCGTTTTTTAGGCGCCGCACCGCAGAACTACCCAAGTCATGAGCCAAATAACCTTAAAACCTTTTGCATGGTTTTCAGAATCGGATCGGTTAGTGAACCGGTCATGTTACCGATTTATTAATTTAACCGGTTGAATTGGTCTGATCGGTCGGAAGAATCGGACGAAGTCATAATTATTTAAAAAAATAAATAAAAATACTAAAAATATGTAATAAAAAATAATTTTTTATATCACAAGTTATATTCAAAACAAGTCATAACATATATAAGTTAAAAACCATAAAATCAAGTGAAACAAAATGATTCAAATTAACTAAAACATAATATTTAAGATAAAACATATTAAATAATAAATATAAAAAAATATAACAAAATGATATTGTTTGGTTTATTTTTTTTTAAATAATCTCACATGGCTAAGAAACATAGAAGAGCATTCCAAAAGTCTAAAGAATAAAAATATGAGAACAAAATAATCTCACATTGCTAAGAAACAAAGAAGCGCATCACAACTAACTTCTATAAATAATAGAGGTAATTTGACATTCAAAATCATGGAGCCTTTTGGTGAGCATTGAGTGAAATATTATTTCACTTCAATCAAGCTCGAATTTTAGGCTTCAATCGAGCTTCTAATTTTTTTTTGAGTTCAAGCCTTTTTGAGTTCAATTTCAATATTATATTTCGAGTTTGAGTTGAACTTGATAATTTTTAGCTTGTGAGTTTGAGTTGAGTTGAGTTTACTTTTAAAGTTTTCAAGTTCGAGTCGAGCTCAGCAATACTCTAGTTCGATTTGGCTTGTTTAACAAACGACGTTGTTTAATTTAATTTAAAAAAAAAAAAAAAAATCCCGGGTTTTCTTGTTTTTTGATTTTCAGTCGGTCCGGTTCGAACGATTCAGCAGTTCTGGCCGGTTCACTAATAATGGTTCTGGCCGGTTCACTAATAACGATTCAACCAGTTTAAATTGAACCAGACTAAACAACCGTTCTCAGTTAAACCGATTAAACCGGCCGATCCGATTCGGTTTTCAAAACAGAGACCTTTTGTGTAGTCCCCTCCCTCTTCCTTTTTCTGTAATTTTTTCCACCTTCTAGTTTATATAGGCAGAATCGAGGTATATTTGTTCACTGATCAGATCAGAAAAAGGAATGAACGGTGGTGATGCTTACGGTATCATGGAGGCGCAATACATAAGGAGACATCACCGGCACGACATCAGAGACGACCAGTGCTCCTCTGCTCTTGTCAAACATGTCAAAGCTCCTGTTAATCTCGTATGTTTTTCTCTCTCTTTCTCGCTCTATGTCTTTTCATACCTTCTTTTCTTTTTTTGGCTCCCGGATCTGCTAAATTTATGTTCATGTCTGATATTTTACAGAAAAATAAATAATTTGGGAGTATTTTTTGTAAGAAAAAACAACTGCTTCAGTACTGGTTTTAGTTTTTTTTTTAATAATTTTATTGCAATTAATAATAGTGGTTATTTATTTGATTAATATTATGAAAGGTATGGTCATTGGTAAGGCGGTTTGATCAGCCGCAGAAGTACAAGCCGTTTGTGAGCAGGTGCATAATGAAAGGGGACCTCGGAATTGGTAGTGTTAGAGAAGTCAACGTTAAATCCGGCCTTCCGGCCACCACCAGCACCGAACGATTAGAGCTTCTTGATGACAAAGAGCACATTCTCGGCATCAAAATCGTCGGCGGCGACCACCGTCTCAGGGTAAAAACAATATAACAATTATTCTTTCTCCTTTTACTTCATTTTACCCCTTTGTTTCAACTCGAAAGGTTACGGATTTTATTGACTGTTTGTTCTGGCAGAATTATTCTTCAATCATAACGGTCCATCCAGAGGTTATAGAAGGAAGGCCGGGGACAATGGTGATAGAATCATTCGTGGTCGACGTGCCAGAAGGGAACACCCAGGACGAAACTTGTTACTTCGTGGAGGCTCTTATCCGATGTAATCTCAAGTCATTAGCCGACGTTTCGGAGAGGATGGCCGTCTTGGACCAAACAGAGCCTATCAACCGATACTAATTCATAAATTTTGATGACCACTAGCTTCAATGGACAATATTTAACAATATGGGGTTCCTTTTTTTTCCACTGTTAATGTTTTATGGCGTTCTGGGTTTCGTTATTATGGTGTTATATATGTAAATATCTATGTAATATAAAAAATGATGGAGGCTTTTATCGTTTTATAACAGTTCTGCTCCTTTTGCCTTCGTTTTATGCATATTTGTGTGTTTTTCTTCTTCTTAGGGTTAACCATTAAGGTATGTTTTTTTAGTTTAAGTGTATAATTGTTGAGTTCTCAGCCGTTGAATTTGAGTGCAGAGAGTGCCAAGTAAAAAAGGTCGCATTTTGAGTCATAAAACAGAAAGCAGTACGCTAACTCAAAGATCATTTGTGACGATTTCTTATTAAGTTTTTAAAGAGTTTAGACCTACCACGCTAGAGAAGTTTCTCGGGTTTAACCAATCACTCAATCTTTGCTGACGTGGAACTTCCAACACGCACCCAAGTTAAACTATGTTTCGTTTTTCCATCAAAGACAGCATAGCTTCTAGATGTTTTTTGTTAACGAATTGTCCAATATGATTCTGCTTCCATTGCCGGTATAATAGAATGAGTTTCAGGTTAACGTAATTTTCTGGACCGAAGTGGTGGCCTTGCAGCTACCATTGACCTTTACACAGGATTTCGCATGATGGTTTCTGAGAGTAGATACTGGAAGCCATTAACAAAGGCTGAATGTTCTGTTGTATTATTGTCAAAAGGTTCAAAGAAGGACGAAGAAGCCTCCTTGTTTGAGACCGAGAACTCGCAATCTTAAGAGAGATTTGAAACCACTCATTCCTGCCGCCAGCTTCATCAGAGTAGTAAGCCCTTTCTCTTCTTCTCTGGTGCATGCAGGTAGATACCTTATTGGAACTAGTTTATTGTCTCCAATGCGTTACATATGCAGTGCTGTATAGTTGCATCCATGTATACAGATAGCAGTTATGGTCCAATGTAATTTTGACTCCGAAATATTACAATTGGCTAACAATTAATTCCCCCTTGTGATTTATATAGATAAAAAAAATCTCCCTTGCGACTTGCCAAACAAGAAAAAAGCCCTTCTGCAGGCATTATCAAAAAGCAGGCATCGAATTTTGGAACAAAAATAGTCTGCTGCTTTTATGTACCCTATGTGTGCCCCCTCCAATAAAAGTTTGCCATATAGCATAATTAATACTAATAAAATATAGTCTTTTGATTTCTCCATTCTTTTCTTAATTGTTAACCGTAATCGTTATTCAATATAACCATTACACTTAACAGGTTAATTAATCGAACCGTGAATATTAAATGATTTCGGTTAATCGAACTATTAAAAATGATGGTTAATGGTTAAGGTTATGGTTATTAGTTTTGATAAATGGTTAACCACTGTTAACCGTTAAGAAATTAAATTTCTAATTTATTATATTTTTACACAAATAACTTAATATAATTTTCTATTATTTATAATATATATATAATAAAATTTGTATACAAATAATTTAATATGTATATATTTTTATCATTTTTAATTTTATTTCTTTGAAAATATAGAAATATTCTTATACCAATATAATTATGTGTTTATTGTTAAGTACTAAGATATTTGGAGATATACATAATTATAATGATGTAAGTATACATTAAGTGCTACAATTTTTATTTTATTTACTTATATCGGTGTAAATGTGTGTTAAGTTATATATTTTTTGTAGTATGAATTATAAAAAAATTGATAAATAATTGTAATAGGTTAATGTAATACCCCAAATAATAGGCCAATGACTAATTTAAAAGGAATTAAAGTTTGGAGGATTAAATTGAGTAACTGGTAAAGAATAAGAAATGACTTAAGTAAGACCAATTTGCAAGAGATAATTTATTGAAAGGGCATTTTTGTCTTTTAAGTGAAATGAATTTAAAACCTATTTAATTTAGGGATTTAAGAAAAGAGAAAAGGGGAAAAGCTTATTTCTCTTATTTTTCTTCTTCTCGTGCAAGGACCATCCTCCATAGCTCAAAGGTAAACTTTAATTTAATCAGTTTTTCCTTTCGATTATAGGTTGTTTTTACAATCTTAAGTGATATGTAAGCTAAAGGGAGATAGGATTAAAACAAAGGTATGGATAAAATATTAAAGATTTAATAAAATGGGTTTTTAAATGATATGTTAATATAGTGTTTATGAAGGTTTTATGGTAGATTTGACTTGTCATAGAGACAAATGAGATATTAGAAGTATTAATGAGATCATGAATATATTAGAAAAAGAGATTTGATTCTTAGGTGGCGTTTGGTTGGATGAAATTCCTTGGAATTGGGGGAATTGGAATCCAATTACACTACTTTCCCATGTTTGGTTCATGTTTTCCAAGGGAATTGGAATCCTTTATGGCTTCAACTTTTCATCAAATGAGGGAAAGTGAATTCTATTCAATAATGGATGAAATTCAATTCCCTTGTTGGAGGGAATTAAAATTTGACCATACTACCCTCATAAATCTTTTGGTAACTTATTCATATATTGAATACAAATATTTTTTTATTATTTTGGATCGGTCGGGTTTCTAATTCATATATTTGGGTCGGGTCGGGTGAAACTTTATTTTGGTCGGGTCGGATTTTTTAAGTGTGATATTCGGGTCGGGTCGAGTTTGGGTTTAGGGTGAAAAATACTCGACCCGAAAATATATATAATTTTACCTTATATATTTAGGAATAATTACAATAATACCCCTCTATATATTTTTTTTTCAATTAAGTCACTATTTTTATTGAATAAAAATATTTTTTTATTATTTCGGGTCGGGTCGGATTTCTAATTCATATATTCGGGTCGGGTGCAACTTTATTTTGTTCGGGTCGGGTCAGGTTTTTTTAAGTGTGATATTCGGGTCGGTCGGTGTCGGGTTTAGGGTAAAAAAAATCGGACCGACCCGAAAAAATATATAATTTTACCTTATATATTTAGGAATAATTACAATAATACCCCTCTATATATAATTTTTTTCAATTAAGTCAATGTTTTTATTGAATAAAAATAAATTTTTTATTATTTTGTGTCATGTCGGGTCGGGTTTCTAATTCATATATTGAATAAAAATAGTTTTTGGTATATTTTTTGGTAACTAATTAACATACTCTGATTGGAATGTATCGAAATATTGCTCTATCTTTTGGTAACTTATTAACATATTTTGATTGCGGTGATTGTTGTTTATTAGCATGATTTTTATAATTTACTGAAATGAATAATCAATCAATAAAATGAAAATTTAATATTTTTTAATTTTTTATAATATATTACTACATGTAAGTTGTAAAACAAAACAAAATAAAACAAAAAAAATAAGAAGGGCAATTCTGTCATTTTACATTACTGAAATCAAATTCATCTGACATGTCTGCAAACCAAACAGAATATGGAATTAGATTCCAATTCCATTTCCTGTCAACCAAACAAAATATGGAATTGGATTGCAATTCCTGACAGATTCCAATTCCTTCACAGATTTCAATTCCCTCATAAACATTCCAGCGAACCAAACGCCACCTTAGAATTGAATGTTCTTGAATGATTTTAGATGTTTCTAATAGGCTAAATGAAGGAATGTTAGTATAAATAGCTAAGGAAGAGTTTAATGGTATTGTATGGTGTTTATATAACGAAATTTAACCTCATTTGGGTTATTTTCGAGCTAAATAATATGGGCGAGGGTATCGGTACTGTTCTTAGCAGTACCGATACTATAGGCTAAAATGAGATAAATAAGAAGAGTGATACCGATACTAATTAATCACTATCGATACCGAAGAGGTAGTATCGATACCATGATAAGGGGTATCGATACCATGATAAGGGGTATCAATACCAAGAAACATCGAATCTAATTTTGGTATCAATACCGGTAGGGGGTATCGGTACCATAGTAAGGTAGTATCGATACCATGGTAAGGGTATCGATACCAGATAACATGGAACCTATTTTTGGTATTGATACCTGAAGGGGGTATCGGTAATATAATGTAGAGGTATCGGTATCAGGGTAATAGTATCGATACTATGGAGCAAGAAATGTTAAAAATATGCCGATATTGGTATAGAAAGTATTCTAACATAGGTATGATACATGTTTTATGAATGCTTGAGTAGATCAGAACCAAGCTCCCGAAAAAAGTAAAACTAAGGGCAAAAGCAAAGTACCAAAGTAATCAGCCTTATATTTGGGATACATAGCGAGGAAATCAGGTGAGTGCATTTAATTATGTATGTACATCCTACAATAGTTATAGTTGTAGAAATAATTAATGTAAGTATGATGATTACCAAATGACACTTCATGTGCTAACATGATAAGAAATTCATACCAAGTGTATGATTTTCTGTATTGGGCACATTGTGTTCTAAAGGATAAGAAATTCATACTAAGTGTATGAATTTCCGTATGAAAAATATATGGGTATAAACATAAGAACTACATAATAAGGAAATAGTTTATAAATGATGATATTAGCCTTAGAGATGTAAATTATAAAATATGAATTGAATTGAAAGATCCCGTGAGAGATGATATTGTCAGAAGTTCATAATAGAAGATGAATTATCGTAATTGTATTGGATGAGTAATCCATGTAAATTATAGTAAAAATTAGGAATTAGTGCACTGGCAGTATGAATAAACCATGGAATGTATAATGATGGAAATGGTTAATGGATATGATGAATGATTATTATAGTAGATATTGCTCTAAAATAAAAGATCAAGAGGCCTAACTGTGCATATGACAAAAAGGTGTCATTTATGCCAGTTAGATGAAAGACTAAGTGTCTTTGAGGCCTAACAATGCATATGACATAAAGGTGTCATTTATGCCAGTTAGATGAAAGACTAAGTGTCTTTGAGGCTAGCTGTGCAATTGACAGAAAGGTGTCAATTATGCCAGTTAGATGAACGGTTAATTACCGTTGAGTAAAAGAAAAATGGCCTAGCTATGCAATTAGCAGAAAGGTGTCAGTTATGCCAGTTAGATGAACAGTTAAGTACCGTTGAGTAAAAGAAAAATGGCCTAGCTGTACAATTGACAGAAAGGTGTCAATTATGCCAGTTAGATGAACATTTAAGTACCGTTGAGAAAAAGAAAAATGGCCTAGTTGTGCAATTGGCAGAAAGGTGTCAATTACGCCAGTTAGATGAACAGTTAAGTATCGTTGAGTAAAACAAAAAATAGCCTAACTGTGCATTGGCAGAAATGTGTCAATTATGCCAGTTAGACGAACGTTAAACACTGTTGAGGAAGAGAATAAAGAAATATTAACGTATTGTGATATGAAGGGATGATATATATATGGTACAACAATGCATAATGGTATGAATGTATGTTATAAAGGAAAAGTAAACAGAATATCAGAGGCATGAAAGGATGTCATAAATGAAAGGTATAATAATGTATAAAAAGGCAGGTAAGGATGACATAATTGAAATGTATATAAGTGCATTGTAATGATGAATGGAGGCTATCAATGAAATAAAGAAGAATGACTAAAGAGATAAATGGAAAGGAAAAATGTAAAGGTAAATAGGTATGCTAGGCATACGAAAAGAGTTAAGAAAATTGTGAATGAAATATTGTTTAAATAAGGAGCATGAGATAATTAAAGAATATACGATTTAGTACGAAATAAATAAACGTGACATATTTATGTATATTCAAAGGTTACGTTATAATATTATGTCTCACTAAGTAATTACTTAACGTGTGTTTATTTCACGAGTAGGTAGAGGCAAGGACTAGTGCATAAGGAGTTAGCAGTATCAACAGCTTTCATCAATTAAAGGTTAACTCGTCAGTAATATTATGACAATCTTATTCAATTTAAGAACTTAATTGGCATGTAATTAAACTATGGCAAATATTTTGGAATGTAATTAAGTAAAAGTTTTTGTATGTTGCTTTCAGGAAATATCATATTTTGTAGTTGAACGAATTGAAACAAATTTTTACGGGTTTTAAAATGACAAACATTTTTATGAAGTAACGTGACCTCTGTATCTCGTGTACGGAAAGGTATACGGGATATGAGTGTTACAGTTAACATACGGTTAACTTGTAACCAAACCGTTAATAATGGTTAACCATTATCGGTTAACCGTTTCTTAACGGTTAGGTTACGGTTAAAAAAAATCTCATAACCTTTATAACGTTTAACTGACCCTTTAGACTAAACGGTACGATTAACTGTCCATGAACACCCTAGTTCTAATTAAAGTAAAAGTTGAGATTGATAGAAAGATACTTGAATAAACCAAATCGTAATAGGAATCTACCTGTGATCTGCTATAAATACATGATTAATTTTCATCTTAACAAAGAAGCGAAAATTCTAATAAAAAATAAAAAGCTCAAAGCCTGTTCTGATGATTGTTTTTGTTATGGCGTTCGACATGTCGCGTAAACAACTCAAAAAGTAAGTAATCAAAGCAGCCATTTTTCTTTTCTTCTTCGTCTAAGCATCCCGTTGTTTATATATATTAACTTCATCCGTTATAGGAATTCTCTTCAATCAAGTAGAAGACACTTTCTTCGCAACAACGATGACAATGGAGATTTTGATGATTCTCGGATTCAATTAAAAAAAACCATTCATGTTTATTTTGATGAATTGTCTGAAGAAAGGTTATATATATACTGCTTTTAGTTTTTATGTAAAATATATTTGGTTTAACTTGTTTTAACGTAATGCAGGCAATCGGTGAGAGAGGAAGCTCTATCACAAATTTCAAACGCTTTAGTTTACAACATCGAGCGCGATTTCGTGGAAGAAAAGTAAGCAATATTTTACTCACAAAAGAACAAAATTAATACCAAAACTTGAAATTAATGACAATCTTATTTGCAGCTTTTCAACACTGGTTTACCATTGCTTCCATTGTATTAAAACAAGTCGTTGGGTTAAAGAGATAGAAAATGCAATACATATAATCGGTGAGATTAATCTTTGATGATAATGTGATTATTTATTCGTTAAAATTTGATATTCGACTTACACAGTTTTGATACATACTTTTTAGGATTGACTGCAATGATAACTGAATGATCTGTTGATGAATCACTCCAAGTATACGAAGATATACTATCTCTACTTTCTCAAAGACTTAAATCCAGAGTTGAAAATGCAAAGGTAATTGTTGGATTATACTCAACCAACTATGTAACTATTTAGCTTATTGTTTGTATGATTATAAGACCAAGGGGCTTTTGTGTTTGAATGTTTCACTTTGTTTTTTTTTATCAGAGAATGACCATGTCTAGCAATTCAAGCTCGAGCAAGGCAAAGACTCTCATATTGAAGAAGGAACAAGCTATTCAAGAGGCAGAAAATGATTTTTTTGCCTTTATGGATAAATATTTAAGTGGATCAGAATACTACATTCAATGTTAAGAACATTTTATTTTATTTAATGATAGCGCTTTTGGTTAAGAATTAGATTATTTTTGTTAGAACAAATTAGTTCCTTTATGCTTTCGTTATCGTAGTTTGAATTTGATTTCTTTTCTATCATGTCAAATTATTATGGATTTACATCTATATTTCATATTATTCAATTATCATGTTCTTCATGAGCTGGTATGTCTGTTTCGATTCTCTATTCCTTCACTGTACGGCTTGTGATTGCCCGTTTTTGTTGAGATGAAAAATGGAGGAAGGTAGTAGTTGCAGTTTTAATCCGTAGTATTAATATTAGTGTGTTAATGTCCATTGCTTTTAAACCGGAACAGAAATAGTTTTTTTTAATTAATCACTATTTTCCATTTATCTATCAATTAATCTATATCGAGTTTTACAGAGATTTATTACAAGGATGATCATTTCAATTTAATTTAATTAATTGGTAAATATTAATATTCAAATATTTATTTTACTTAAAAAATTAATATTTTATTTCACTGGACCAGTTAATTTTAAAAAATTATTGATTTTTTTAATAATTTGCTCGCTTTACTATGGAGGTGGGTCCAATTATATTTACGGGGTATTCATTTCAACAGTTTCAGGCCTCGAGAGAAAACACAAATGGGCTTGAAGATACTGTTAATTACTATAATCGTGAAGTTATCTCGTGGTACAGACCATTTGAAGTTTAATTTACGGACAAGTGTTAACTTAAAATGTTAAAGTATTTAATCCCAAGGCCATCCGACCGAGTTATGTGAGAGCATCTGAGGCCATCTGACTGAACTATGCGAAGGCAGTCGAGCGAGCTATGCAAGGGCATCCGAGTGAGCGAGTAAGGGTAGGTCGCCCGGAGTGCATGGCGACCTACAAGGTCACCCGGAGGGCATGACGATCTATGTGTTGGGACGTGCATGTGCCATGCAACACGTTCATTCTCTCTGTGAGTTCGCCGGGAAGCTGGCCACGTAGTAGGTCGCCCGGAAGGCATGGCGACCTACGGCCAACACTGTGGATTTCACCCTATTTGAGCAATTAATCTGGGGAGTGTATTATCTCGTGAATTAATTTCTTCCAGAACATTATCTCGAAAGTTTTGTCTAGTTTTCTGGTATTCTAAAAAAATCTGTGTTCTATCTTAAATTTAGGGTTTTAGATTTTAAAATTAAAATAGATATGTTATATAAATTAAATTTTTCATATTATACATTCCAAATAATAACTCATATATATGTCTAATTACACATAGTAAAATATTTTAGTTTTATATTGATTTAGGATATTGGATGAATGTAAATTGCTAAGATGAAAATTTTAAAATTAAAAAAATTTATATAAAAAATTGAACAATATCAACCAAAGTATATATGAGCCTCACATGGGTGGACCCATCCATCAAACATTTTCGTAAACGAGGGGTTAAACGTGATGTAGCCATAAATTTCCCTTTTAACAATATGGATAAACTACATGTTTAATCATCTAACTTTCAACGTGCTTCTATTTTGATTACCCATTATAAAAAAATTGGTTTGATGACTAAATTTTTAATTTCGTTCGTTTAGGTTACACGATTGTTAATTACCTAAATTTCTCAATAAATTTATGCAAAAAAGAATTTTTTTTTCTAAACTTCACTCTCCAACTCCCTTTTATTTATTAGCACAAAGTATTTTCGTTCAAATCCAAATAGAGGAGAGATCAACAAAGAGAAGAAAAATGACATTTATCAGTTCAATGTTGATCAGCCAATGAACATTGTAGACTTTATCAAGATAAGGTCGACAACTTGATTTTATTTTATTTTTTTCAATTTTCAAAGAGCATCAATCTAAGAAGAATAAATAGGAGAGAAAATGTAACGTTTTGATATCATTACATCATAAATGAAGATCGAACGATGACAGGGAAAAATATTATTTATGAGAAAGGAGAAGGTTAAAATTCTAGGTTAATTTCATGAATAAAAAGTTTCCAAACACAATTTTTTGGTATTTTCTTTAAGACTTAACATCCAAAAATAAGTAAACGAACATAATTTGAAAGTTTAATTAATAAATTAAAAAGATACATTATAGTTGAATGATCAAAACATAAACATGTTGAAAGTTGTATGATTAAACATGTAATTTTCCCTAGTAATATAAGTGAAATGAATGAGCAACAACGCGGAAGAAGAACTTGAAGATTCTTTTAAAGTATATTTCTGACTTTCAACTCTCTTCATATTTTCTCAAAACTGATCTTTCTCACTCCAATTTATATTGTACGTTCACTTGAATTGGTCAGCCCCCTTTTTATCCACACTCCAACCCTACGGTGACACTACAAGTTTGGGTTTTCCCACCTCTTTCCACCTCATTTCTTTCCAATATCCTCCTTTCCTGCCCTTCTTTTTTTGTCTTACAAAAACCCTATTTTAAACTCTCCCTTCCATGCATACCTTCATCCCTTCTTGTACTTAACCATCATTTGGACTTTGAATTTGATTTTGGCTACAATGGATCGGGAGCTAAGGACTCTTTTGAATGAGCTAAAAGAGGGGAAAGAGGTGACTAATCAGCTCATGAAGCATCTCCATCCTTCTTCGTCTCACCAAACACGCCAACTCTTACTTGAGAAAATACTTTGTTCTTACGAGAAAGCTCTTTCGATTCTGAATTGGAATGGTTTCGTGATCGGAACTAATCCCTCAGTTACCGCCATCGAATCATGCCGTTCCATCGACCGTAGCAGCCCCGGAAGCGAGGCATCAGGTGAAAAAGATGTGTTCAAAAAGAGGAAAACGTCGTCCGGGGTGACCGAGCAAGTTCGGGTTTGCTCCGGGTCGTCATTAGACAATCCTCTTGACGATGGATATTGCTGGCGAAAATATGGGCAGAAAGCTATTCTTGGATCAAATTTCCCAAGGTGAGAAAAAAAAGTTCTTTTTTACCCTTTTTTCATATAGAAGATCAATTTTTTGTTGTGATTGGGGTTACCATAAAGGACCACAACCACAAAACACTGGTGCTAGTTTTAATTATTCCCCACTTGAGTTTATGATATTGAAACATGACCTTAAAGCATAGATAAAGATACATTACCCAGTTTTTTTTTTATCTGGTTGGAGCTTTGTTTAGTACAAGAATAATCCTAGTTTTCTTACATTCAATTTTGCACGTTCTATCTCAGGGGATATTATCGATGCACTCATCGTCATTCACAAGGTTGCTTAGCCATTAAGCAAGTTCAAAGAACAGACAGCGACCCTACGAATTTCGAAGTTAAATATAGAGGGAGGCATACTTGTAACCAAGCCTCTCAGTTCGCCGGTACGTTTATGCCGGTGCCGGTGGAGTCTAGAGAGAAAGGGAATCACTCCCGGAAAAGGCAGCACCAGCTTGATGAGAAAGCAGAGGGCTTGGACAATAGGAAGGATGTTTTCCCTTCATTTTCGTTCCCTTTTGAACCGGAAACAGTTAAAAATGACTCGTTCATCGGAGCCATAATGGAAAACCTTTCTCCGGCATTTATGTCGCCGGAGACATCCGAATCCAACTATTTTTCGGTGTCATCATGCGACATGGGCAGCTTTGAATCTGATCTTACAGATATAATCTCCGGCCCGACTTCGGTTACCAATTCACCGATCGAAGATCTGGATATCTCATCACTTGATAAGTTGGAATTTGATCAAAGCTTTCCATTTGATAACCCTGAATTCTTCTCTTAATCCTGTTTTCAAATTTCCACCCCATTAGAGGAGCAATTTGTATCCTTCCATCCATGTAAATAATTCCAGTAATGATATTTCACAATGATTAGATATAAATCTTTTGAAGTGTTTATTTGATATTTTTAAATTTATTTGTATTTAGTGATTGAAGTCAAATTTTACTCGTATATATATCGTTATCATTGTTTGCTTAGTTCATGGTAGCAACCAGCAAGCATGTCTTTTACATTTAAAATTACAATATTTTATTCAACATTTTAAAACAACATAAGGATTCAATAGTTTCTAACTATAACGGTTTTTGTTAAAAAAAAAAATAAATCAACTGTTTTTTTTGGCCTGAATTTATGTCCATTTTTCACTGTTTCATATGTTCATTTTAATGTTTTATTCTCTCATCTTTCCTATAAATACAAGAGTTTGCTTCATTGTTTTATACGGTCAAACATACCGACAATAATATGTTTTTTTCTATCTGCTTTATTTATTTATTTATTTATATGTGAAAACAACATTCTTTTCTCATTTGAAAAGAATAAAACCATTATTTCATTTTCTTAATTTTGGTCTTTAAAAGTAAGAAAATAATGTTATCAGTGGACTGGGTCGTCGTATGTTTTACGATTGTACCAATCGTAAAAAAAACACTTCTAAAATAATAATTTTTACCACATCACAATAATATTTTCTTCTTTCATCTATTGACTTTTAATGTAAATTATCACATTAGACATCAAATTATTATTATTTTTTTACTTTATTTACTTAATTTTTTTGTCACAATTAATTTTTTTTGGTCAAAAACATCATCAATGTTATATTTTATTTTATTGATCAAGATGAAATTGTTTCTAATGCAGTAAGTTTTACCATAGCACAGTAATAAGTTCTTATTATTTTTTCAATTTATTTTAGGGTAAAATATCCTACTGATCATCAAGCTATTACAACTTTATTACTTTGGTCACTGAACTTTTCTTTTGGTAAAAGACAAAAGAGTCACTGATATTATGTTTTCTTTATTTGATTATCGACTGCTAATAATAATTTTAGTCTCCAAAATTTATACATTCTATCAATTTGATCCTAAATTCGAAAAAATTAATATTTTTTAATGTTTAAAAATCCTATCAATTTGGTCCTCATTTTAATTCAAAATACTTTATATTTTTCTTAATTTTCACCTATAAGATGATGGTTAGTGTCACCATCTTATTGTAGTATTAAATTTACTTAATTACTTTGAACTAAGAAGAGGACCAAATTGATATGATTTTTTAATATCGAGAATTTATTTGAATGATTTCGAATTAAGACCAAATTGGTAAAACATATAAATTTTAAAAACTAAAACTATTATTATATCATGTCATGTCGTCATCTCTATTAAATTTTAATGAAAACTTTGTCACTAACTAAAATTGGAAAGGAATAATATAATATCAAATACATTTTTTCCAAAAATAAATTCGATGACAAAAATTAAAAAATATTTTAGTAACTAATAAATTATTGACAACACACATACACCCATCAGATTCAACTGCTCAGATTCATGGCCTCTAGGGAAACAACATTTCTCTTTAATCATTGATATTATTTGATGAGTTCAACCAACTTATAAAATTTTAAAGACAAAAATATATTATTAATAGAATATGAAAATTAACAATCCAATCTCCCTCGTCCATCCTACCCATTAGAGGAGTATGTCAACTAAATCTTGTCTTTTCAAACAATAGTAACAAAATTTTAAACATTTATTCTGCAAAACTTTGACACTGGGTAGCGGAAACATACATTTCATAGTTCATACTGGAGAGGGTGGAGTTTTGAGTTCCCCAAACTTGTGACCCAAGTTGATACTTTCTTCAAGTATTGTTTTGACATCATATTTGTACTCAAATCCAGCTTCCTTCAGCTTAGTCGAACCCCAAACTATTTCTCTCTCCAATTTCTCCACAAACCTGAATCCAAGCATGCGAGATTTGTAAATTTAGCCTGCTTTATAAATTTCACGTAAAAACAATTCAGTCATAATCATGACTTACTCAAAAAGTATCCCTATATCATGGAAAATCATTAGATAAAGGTTAGCGATCTCTGCAGAGCTCAAATACGCGCTAGCGCAAAGGAATCTGCCATTCATCGATGGTTTCTCCATGCAGAAAATGTGAGCGTCGCAGACATCCTCGATGTGCAAAATCGGAACTTTTCCCAACAATTCCTCCAAAAACCTCAGGGTGTTGTACCAATATTCGTTCTTTGTGGTTTGAGAAATCAGCACCTTCACGCTTCCAGGGATGCACGACAGAAGCGTCGCTCCACCCACGAGTCCGAGAACGAGGCTCGCGATTTCGATCTCATTACCGTACCTCAGCAGTTCTTTTTCGGAAGCTACTTTCGAGCTTGCATATGCCTGCAGCAATATAAATCCCAGATTCATTTGCATCCTGTTTATCGCCATGAATGTTGAAGGATTTTAGTTACCTTTAACAAGTCGGTGCCGAAGACTAGAGGAGTAGCACCGGGGGAAGTCCAAGAGGATTCATCTAACTGATCTTTGTAGCCTTTCCCGTCTTATTTTAAAGCCGATGAGGCAACGACGGAAGCAGCGTAAATGAGTCGCTTCACTGTCCCTGATGCAATGCAAGACACCACAATACTCTTCACCCCTGCAACTGCAGCCTCGGTTGTGTCTTTGAACTGTGTATTCCATGTTATTTTTTAATTAGATCCAACCAAAGTAATGCATTCAATATAGAGAACATAGAAATTAGTAAGTACGACAACGTTTAATCACGTGGGAAGCACTTGTTAAGATCTGAAATATACATATAATAATAGTAATGATACCTGAGAATTTTGGGGTTGGTGTTGCAATGGGGTAGCCATATGAATTACAAACTGGCAACCTTCAATTTCTGGTTTGAACTCACACGGATCATATATATCAGCTTCAAACAACCTTAGCCTGGTTTCTGCATGTGGGAGGCTTTTAAGATGCCCTACCTTGTCAGAATCTCCTACAACATTTAAATACAACTTAAAACAGATTAATCCGGATTATTCAGTTTTTAGATCAGATTTTTACAATGCTAACAGATAGATTCGATTTGACAGGAAAGAGATAGAAGAGAAAGGGGAAAGAGTAACCAAATTCCTTGTTGTTGCATGAACAATGTATCCGATTTCCAGGAGTCTTTTGACAAGCGAAGAACCTAGGTCGCCTGCTGCACCTGTTACGCACACCTTGATTTCCATCGAATGAACAATGCTTCGGCAAGTCTCAGCCTTCTTCTGAATAGGGGAATGCCCAACACCCAGCAGGAGGCAGCCGCTGTCATTGTCAAAGGCCAACTTCACGCTCCCTTTATCCTCCTATGGAGATAAACCAAAAACCATTTCATTCTAATCTTCATCATCTTATTCTATTTTTTTTTCGGTTAAAGGGAAACATTGGTAAACTACACCATCACCGTCTAGTCATGGACGGATTCTATTTTAATTATTGATCTTTTAATACTTAACATTTAGTTTTTGTTTTATTTTAATACTAACCGTTAAAAACTTAACGGACGGGTTCATCGGTCGTAATGTCTACAGTCGCCGGTTGTTGCATCTGTCGGTCTATGAAGTCCAAACTTTCTAGCTCATACTTTTTCGACCCCCTAAACACGATTTCGACCTTTGTTTCATCGGTAAAGCCTCAATCTCCTCCAAATCGACGATGAACTCTTCGATTTCTTAATCTTTCAATCTTCATGGCCCATGTTCAGATTGGTCGTTCGTCCACCAGAGCTATGTCACGTTAGCCCGTCCGTTAATTTTTTAACGGAATGATATGAAACAAAAATTAAATGTTAGGTATGATTTTGAAAAAAAAATTATGTACTAAAATAGATCTAAACTAATAGTTTAAATACTAAACACCGTAGTTTACCCTAATTTTAAACTCTCTTAACATATATCTCTCATAACAACTCTTCAACTATTGCAACATCTCACGTTGTTTGACATGGTCATATTGTGAGGACCATTTGAAGAAAAAAAGAAGGTAAACTTATCTCTTTCCATGTGCACATAACCTCTTATTATAGTCATAAAATTATAAGATGGTAGTTCTTGATGGTTAGCATAACTGATTGTACAAAATATTATGTAGTAAGGTATTTTAAGTACTCAAAAGACGACAATATTTTTTTTATTTAAAATATGATATTCTCTTTTATTGTATTACGGTATCATGTTTTTATGGCTTGGAAATGTACGTATATTAGTCGTCCATCTACTTTAAATTAAAGACCTGAGTTTACATTGAGCGATTATTATAATTTCTTTGCGTCATGGTAGTGGTGGTAGCTTTCTTCGACCACTTCCCTATCATTTATTTTTCGGTTGTTTGTTGTATGTTTTTTTATTAATTTTCAGTTGTATTTTAATTTATTTTTAATAATAGTTTTTCTTTATTTTTTTCCGTAAAAGATATCATAACTACCGATGTTTTTAAACTTCTGGTGCATGCACTTTCCATTGATCTTCTTCATGGTGTTCTACATGTTTTTTGGTTGCTTGCTTGTTTTCTCAATGTTTGATTTCTTCCTTAGCTAATATATGATATTCCGTTGGTTGTTGAATATCTATGTCGGATGGGATTGCAGTTAAGAGGGATTGGTTTTTCATTAGTCCATTGTGGCTATTCTTTAGATATTTCTCCTTTATGTTTGGTACTCGATCCGTTTTTGTATGCCGTTGTCTCAACTGTTTATATTCTTGCTCATTAGACTATCACTTGTCGCTCATCATCATATTTTATTTTTGATAATCATGAATGTGTTTATTTAGTATGTATATGACAAGACGTTGTGGATGATATTTTCTTTGACTAATGAATATATCATCATCTTGTTTTCAAAAAAAAAAAAAAAACTAAGTTTAAAGTCAACAATCTCTAGAGCAATTGGTTAAAAGTTTTCAGTTGATATATTTCCACTCCCTTAGGTCATTGGTTCAATATCCTGTATAAGTAAAATTTCACTGTCCCCTTCCTCAAGTAGAAATTATTCCAAAAAAAATATAAGTTTATATCAATAAATTTTAGAGCAAGTGATTAAAAGTTCTTAGTTGACGCATTTCCTTTTTTCTAAGTTGTAGATTCAATACTCATTAAGAACGGAATATCTTTTCCTCTTTCTATAGGAATTGTTAAAAAAAATCTGAGTTTATATAATTGTAACATTTGGCAAATATAAAAATGGAGAATGACAAGTGTATGAATCATTGTTCTGTTGAAGTTTTTGTTGCTAATATTCGTTAGGAATCATTGGGGAATCGGATATCTAACATTTTAGTGATTTTAAAACCGTATTTTTATGCCCAAAATTAAGAAAAAAATTATTGAGTTATCTTTTAAATCACTGAAATGATGCCTTTGGTTTTATAGTGTTCATTTTCATTCATTAAATCTAAAAAATAAAGTTTCGATCATTTACATTGTTTAATTATATTTTTTTAGCATTATTACTATCGGTTTATAATATTTTAGTTAAAATATCTTTAGTTTGATAACATGATACTTTAGTAAAATATGTTATTTTTTAAAATTTAACCTCTAAATTTTAGATAAAAATTAATTTTGATCCCTTAAATTTAAATAAAATATTAATTTAATCCATAGATTTAATCAAAATCTCTCACTTTCGGCGGTTGATCACTTTCAGCTGCCATCGCTCGTCGTCGCCAAGGACCATTAGATCCCAATATTTCTAATTCATTCCTTTTTATCCTCCTAAACACAAATATATTTCATAAAAAACCACAAACTCCGTAAAATTTTTGGATATCATGATTTTATGAATCAAGGATATCTTCTACCGATTCGTTTAATAATTTAAATAGAATTAAATTCGGTAAACCAAATAAAATCATATAGACCATAAAATATTTCATATTGTTTTATTTTCAGGATTTTAAACCTAAAAATTTTGTACGAAAATTTACTTAATATCGTTCATGTGATATATATTTATGCCCTTAAAATATCGATAACTCCAAAACATTATAAGAAAATGGAATAATAAACTAAGACTAAGTTAATTCAAAACCTAACCAACAGAAAAGGAGCCCACTCAAGTTTAGATCCATTAAGTAAAATCTATTTAAGTTGGTTTTATCAAAATTAAAATTCGACCCACTCACAATACTTTTTATTTATTTTATAAAAGTATAAACAGTCAATATATATTTTATTTATTTTAATAAAAACAAATTTACATGTAAAATAATTTTTAAAATTAATTAAACAGGTAATTTTCCACCCTCAATTGTGTTAGACTTCTAGTACCTAACAAATGAGAAGAAGAAGAAGAAGAAAAATTAGTCTAAAATATAAAATGGCGATGAATTAGTTAAAGAAAATGATGAGATTTTGAGTTTTGTTTTGGCCCTCCAATCATTTCCCTTTTGACGCATCTATCAATGATGATTGCAGCAACTTTTATTTCCCAGTTTTTTTTTAGCTTTATGAGTAATTGAGTACAACTCGGAAAGGTATGAGTAGTGTTTATTTTAACTTATTTACTCTACTATGTATATATATATGGGATAATCAAACCTATACAAGTGTAAATGAAGAAAGCATTTGGTGAATATTTCGTATAACGTTAGTTTGTTAAATTAAATAAACGATTATGAAAAAAAATTTATGTTCTCTTAATAGAAGAACGAACATGAACAAATGTGTGTTTGGATCATTTATGTTCGTAAACAAATTCGTTTATTATCTCGTTCGTTTATATTCATGAACAAGCTCGTTTAGAAGCTTATGTATTTTTATATTTTAAATATTAATGAAGGTAATACTAAATTGAATATATGATGAAATTTTATACACACCTTCAACACCTTTACAAGAGGCTTTGGTATTACTTTCTCCGAAAACAAGATAAATCATGATTAAATTGTACTAACTAAATGAGTTTTAATACTTTGTAAAATTTCCGGTTGCCAACCCTAATATGTAAATTTATGGGTTTTTATTCTTAACTCATTATCTATTATATTACTTTGTATGTTGAATTCTGAATTTTACTTTGTGATATAATTCTGATTTGTTTTATTTGGTGATATAGAGTTTTTTTTTTTTTTAACTTTTGAGGATTTTGAAGAAATTTTATATTGGTATTTTATGACATTGTGGAGGATCCAATTTTAAAATTATTCATAAAAAAGTTGAATGAGTTTTGATATGCCGTTGGGTTTGAGCTTTGAGTTTGCTGGAAATATATATTAAGGATTCTGTTTAATTTTTAATTTTCTTGTTTGTTTGGTAATATTTTTGAATGAATATGTTCGATAACACTAGATGAATATGTTCGCGAACGTAAAATAAATATTAAATAAACATGTTCATGAACGTTGAGTGAATATATTCACGAACACTAAATGAACATGTTCACGAACATTAAATAAACGAAAAAAACACAATCAAAAATAAATAGACGAACATGAAATTTAAAAATTAAACGAACACGAACTGAATATAAATATGAATACTTTTAAAAATAAAGAAACTAATACAAACATGTTCTTATTCATTCAAGTTCAATTCATTTATACCCCTAACCAGACCCAATAATGAATACACTTGTAACCTGACCTCACTTTTCCCTTTTCAATATAAATAGAGTAAATTTTGGAATGGAAGGGGAAAAAATGTGTGGATGACTATACAATGGACATTGGAAAGAAAATCCTGAGATTATAGATTAATGGTTGGAGTTAGTAGAATAGGAAAGGCAGGGTAGGTGATCTGCCACTATACAATAGTAACTCATGTATTGCAATTTCAAACGAAGACAAAACAATATCCAATCCAAGGATGCAAATGCCCCCAAGAATTTGTTACTGTTATATTCTTTTAACAAATAAATTATTTACTTAATAATGATTTTTTTATTTGAAAAAACATTTTATACCTAATGTATCAAAGTGGTCTCAGTAATAAAAAGGAATATTGTTCTTTTTAGAGGTATTGAGTTCGAGCAATCGTATCTGTAAGGTATGTACGTTGTCATGAACATATTACATTATAATCACTTTGTCTTGGTCAAAAAAGAAATCAATTGATACATCAACTTATACCACAATTATATATATTTATTAGTTTGATGTTCAATAATCTACATTTAATTCCAAATTTCAATCTAATTAAATTCACAATAGTATGTACCAAAAGTTCATTTGAATACATTATTTTTAATAAAAATAAATAAATTAGATCAATATCCATTCGACAAAAGAAATTGATGTGGTTTGAGACGGATTAATTTGTTGTGGGAAACAGAGGACATAATTGGATTGGATGAAATGGAAAAATATCTACTTTGATCACGTTGTAATAAAAAGAGGCACTGTTGATCCATAGGTATGCTAAATAAAGGGAATGTTTATTGCAGTCGGAAAATATGAAAATTCCTTGAATCAACTCTATAATTGATCTGTATTATGTGATACATGCCTTCTCTTTCGTGCTTGTTTCGCAATAACTTGTTCGTTTCTTACTTTGTTTTGGTTATGTAGAAATTGCCGTACATATTAGCGGACTGGATTCATTTGCATGTCAATACCACTCACCTACTCATTTAAAACATATTATAATTTTCGATATTATTTTCAAAAATTAATCTTTAATTCGAGTCTAAATAAGAGAAAAATTATTTTTTGTAACTGTAATATTAAACTTACCATCTACCTACTCTCTATGAATGCTATTGCTAAGAGAGGCCATCACTAAAATGTGCTGTGAGTTTTTCTTTGGTCGTTGGGTCCACTTCAATTCAATACCACACAGTGGACATTGGCCACACCAGTCCTACCTACTACATAAAATATACAGGAGAAAGTTAAAGAAGAACATTAGAGCACAAAAACTCCCAAGAAATTCTGGCATTTAAACATATATTGCCTGCACCATTTACAAAGAGAATGGGAAAATAATCCATATAGAACATACAAAAGCTAAGATTGCACTAACTTAAAGGCTGAAATTAAAAAAAGGGAAAAAGAAAGGATAAGATTGGGTTTAGAGGGGAGTTTGATTCCTCCACTTTGTAGCGACCTCAGAGAGTGCGTTTGTGGAAGACCCATTTTGGGAGAGTGCCTTTAGGGCAGCTTCCTTCAGGTCCTTCATTCTATTTCTAACGCCTTTCCCTTCTTCGCCTTCCATTAGACCCTTGACGGTCTTCGCGATCTCGTCTCGGGAAATTAAGCTGTTTTCGTCGGATTTAGGTCTCAACGCCACTCGGATGTCTTCGGTTAGCATCACGGCGTTCATTTTTTGTTCGGCGTAGAGTGGCCATGCGATTAAAGGCACGCCGTAAACAACGCTTTCCAGAATTGAATTCCATCCGCAATGGGTCAAGAACCCACCAGTCGAGCCGTGGCTCAGCACTTGACTCTGTGGTGCCCACGATGGCACCAGTAGACCCCTGCCTTTAGTCCTCTCCAGGAACCCCTTTGGTAGAAAATCGAAAGGGTCATTCTGGCTTTCCACGCTGAAAAATGTGGCATTAGCGACTATATCATTCGGGCTTCTTACAACCCACAAAAATCGTTGCTCGCTCATTTCCAACCCCATGGCCAACTCGTTTAGCTGGACCGATGACAAGGTTCCACCGCTTCCGAACGAGACGTACAAAACCGACCCATGTGGCTGATCATCTAGCCACTTTAAACAATCACACCCGTCAGCTTTATTACTTGGATCAACGTTAACAAGTGGACCAACCGGGTAAACCGGAGGCTTACCGGGCTCTTTCTCTTGCAAAGCCTTTAAAGCTCCTCCTTCCAAGTCCACGAAACTGTTCACCATAATTCCTTCGGCCAATCTATACCTCTTTGCATGATGAAGAACCCATTTGTAAGCATCATTTTTCCTATCTTGAACCGGGTCCAACAATTCTTTGCCTTTAATGGGTATACACCCCGGAATTCTTACTTCTGGTAGGTCCCTGTACTCGCACGAAACCATCGGGTCAAGCTTCGGCAGGTGAAGAAACAAAGACAGAGCCATGGCTGTAGACGGGAAAAAGATGTACGGCAAGAGGTTGAATTCTCTGGCAACATCAAATGCGTCGGTCCCGAAAAGATCAACCACCAAGCCGACGATTTTCGTCTTTACAACCAGTAACTTCAAAGTATCCCGAAGGAAAGACAGAGACCGAGCCACCGTCAAAGAAATCACCGTTTCGATTTTCGCGTCTTCAGGCAGGTCACACAAGTTAACAGGAGGAAGAAAAACATAATCTATAGAGCTCGGAAGGGAATCCAGAGCTGATCTTTGAGCTTTAGTTGGAGAAACGCCGGTGGGGATAACAAAGGTGACAGTGAAGTTGTGTTGTTGAACAAATCGCTTAGCGAACTCAACGAGTGGAATCAGGTGACCCATCCCAGGACTGGGCAGAATGGCTATGTGGGGTGTTTCCATTTTCTCCATGGCAGTGAAAACAAAAACCAATTATACTATTTTTCTTTCTTGTGGGTGTGTGTGTTTGGTATGAAGGAAAATGGAGAGAAAGATGTGGTTTATATAGAGGGTCGAGTCAGATTGTTGAGTTATTTGTTTGTTTTTTATGGTAGAATTTAATTTGTATAACAATACACGGTAGATTAATAAAGAATATGTACTTATAATCATTTTTACGTGATTCTTCAAAGAATGTGGGTGGAATTGCTGATGGTGAAAGGGATTTCTAGAGGAAATGGATTTACAGCTATTTTTTTACAATTTGGATATTATTGGACTGTGGACCTGCTGATGTCATTTCCAACGTATGTCTTATGATATATATAATTAAACCCTTTTTCTCTGTTTTTCGTTTTTTCTTTCTGGTTCCCTTCTCCAGCTCTTATGGTGAAAAAGTGAAGCTTTTTACTCCAATCATTATTGCTCGGTTTCAGCATTTGAGTCTAAAATGGTATTATAATTTTCAAATTTTACCAAAAATGTTATAACTTTTAAAAGTATTTTTATTATATTCATAATAATATTATTATTAATTAAATTCAAAAATATGAAAGAAAACAGCTACTTTTATGTTTAAATTTTGTATAAAATTAGAATTTGAACATGAATGACAAAAAAAAATTATCGATTTGTCAATTATTTCAAAGTCTTCGGACCCAACATTAAAAGTATGGGGCCATAAATTTTTTTTTATAAGTCGTGTATCGTATATTATCAAAGAAAGTAACCTAGCTGCTACAAACAACCAGTCAGCCACAATAGCCTACAAAACCAACATAAATCAAACCACAAAACTGATTCAACAGAATCACAGTTAAACCAATACAACTAGACAAATTGGTCTTAAAAAATGCCCCAATCAGCACACAAAATCACATTAACCCTATCACTTCTATCGATAGAACCCCACCCAAGCCAACTTTGGGATACGAACAAGAAGAGAACTACCTTTCAAGTTTTTCATTGCCCACAAAAGCTTATCATCCCAACTCAATCCTTTGAAATGCAGTCGGCAAGTACACAAAACTCCCCTCTAAACCTCCCTTGAGAAGGAGCACTCAGTGAATAAGTGGCACCTATACTCTATAGCAACATCAGAAAGACCACACAAGTCATCAGTGGCTATTCCAAACCGAGTCAATCTATCATTTGTAGACATCCTGTCCAAGATGGCCATCCAAGCTATAATAGAATACTTAGGCGCATGGGAAGGGAACCAAAGAAGCTTATGCCACTTCATTTTTCCTTCACCACTCTAGTATTTTCCCAGATCCACCTACAATCAACCTTTAGCCCAATTCAAACCAGAATTGAACAAGGCAGCAACATCACCTATCAATTTTAACAATTTCCTTAAAACTCAACTCAAATGAGCCTTGTACTCCACATGCCAAAAATTAGCACCCTTCAACACATATTCTTTCAATCAAGCCACCAACCTATATGTTTATTATTTTCAGTATCATTTTTATTTTAGTCATTTAACAATTTATTTTTTTAAATCATATACATTGTTTAGTTTTAATTTCAGTTTCATTTTAGCCATCAACCGTTAAAAGATTAACAAAATTGTTGGCATGACATCTTTTGTTTTTTAATGATGATGTGGCATTATCATAATTATGATACACATCAGCATTACTGTTATTTTTTAATAATAAGTGATCAAAATGAAGTCAAATCTAAACGTTAAGTATGATTTAAAAAAATAAATAGTTAAATGATCAAACAAAATAAAAGTGATAGTTGGTGTACTAAACTTGTAGTTCACCCTAAAAGCTATGGTGAATTTAGATGGTAGGATATCTTGCTATTAATGCACAAGCGCAAAGATTGAAGATATTAATTAAGGATTCGCAAAATACAAGTGCAAAACTCTTTATATTGTATAAGATTAATCCAACAATTTAAAATTATAAATACTCTTTCATATGGACTAAAGTAAGAGTATATGTTAAAAAAATAAATTTTAAAATTTTAAAAGATAAAAACACATTATCAAACGAATATTTAAAATATATAAAAATTTTCATATTTTCAAATGAACGATTGTCTCACCTATTTCCATCGGTTTATATTTAGCTCTTCCAACATTTTTTTTATTACAATAACTAAATTTTTTGCCAATAACAATTTTCTAATGGACTGTTGAGATAGTTATTGTTTCATGATTTAAATTAAATAATGTTAAATCCATGCAGTACCATACAAACCTACATGACGGCACGGTGATGAAAAGATGATGCAAAAAAATATATTATCTGCCCCACCAGTTAATTATTGCCAATAAACATGGGACAAATCCGCAATGTTGCTAATTTCAACGAACCCTAATTAAATTAGTACAAGATTAACTAATAAATTAAGTTAGCTGAAAAGTCTAATTATTTGGGAGACCAAAGAGAAAGAAACCAGAGTACGTATCGATTATCTGATATTCATTTCATTTATTATCGTCGTTGACCCTTAAAGAATTAAACAATTTTGGACGCTTGGATGTCGAAATTGTTCTGATTTGAGGACTGACGCACGTGTGATCAGGACACTCTATCATCTTTGATTTTTCTCATTTTTTTAATGTCAATCGTGGAGATGGAAATCAATATTGAACCAATAAATAATGGTCGGTAGTCAATATCCAGCATTTATTTTTCCATTTATATATGCATATAAAGATGAAATATATTCTACGAAAAATAAAATAAAGACGAAATGTATAATCCTCTTAATTCAATGAATATATTTTAAATTATATGATTATTAATATTTTTTTTTTTGGTCACCCAAATATTAAAAATTATAAAGTATTAATAATTGAAACACTATTTAAAATTTAGCTGCATGAAAATACTTGAATCTACATTGAAGCTGTTTTGGTAGTGTTGCAGCGGCATGTAACATGTTCTTATCAGCTCCCAGCAACAGTTGAGCATATCAGAAAAAAAAAAAGGAATCATGGAATCTATAATGCTTATACTTTTTTTCCTTCGTTGTTCTAATTATGAATTTCCCTATTTCTCTATTGACTTTTGGTTTATAAATATTAAAATGGTGCCATGTAATGTATGACCAAAGCCTTACGCATCCTGATGACATATAAATGGCGGACAGAGATTGAGTGCATCCCTATTATTTTTTTAAAAATAATTAAATTAAATATGTTAAAAAAAATTACATACCTATTATTTTTTTAAAATAATATTAAAATTTTAGATTTTATTCTTAAATTTCTGAATATATTAATATTAAAGTTAAATTTGATTAAATGATATCCACCACAGGTTATTCCAGTAATAATATGTTCGAGATTGGATAGGTAACTCACAGGATTTATAGTGTCCATTGGGGCACACACACCCCATTAACCAGACTGGATTATGCAGCTACTATCTTTATTATATCATTATCAAGCATTTTTCTTTTCAAGAGTGATAGTGGCGCACAAGGTATATCAAACGTGCACGATAACATTGCCACCAATACTTCTTTATAATAGACGGAAATAAAATTTTATGTTAGGAACGGATTTTTAAAATTTTAAGAGAAGTAAAAAATATAAAATTATAACTATAATATATGATAATTTAAAATTTTTAAGGGACGATTGAATTACACGAAGATAGTGTACTTTTACCAAAAACGGAGACTTGAAAAGTTGAGATTTCAGAGGTTAAAATTGTTGAATCACAAATATAGATATTCGGTGAGAAAGAAAGAAAGAGGGTGGTAGATCAGTTGCCTTGGTACCTTGTTATTCGCTTATATTTTTGTTCAATCAAGCTGCGTAAGTCCACACAATATTCAAATCATTGAAATGAAAATAAGGATCCGAAAAGAACTTTGACTCCGTTTGTATGCTCTTCTATTCCTTCCATTTGAGCACGAACTGGGACAGTGCACTCGTTGACAACCCACTTTCACTCAAAGCCTTGGCAGCTTCGTCCTTGAGCTTGTTTTCTAACGAATATCACCCGTATAGGAATGTAAATAAGTCGAAATTGAATGTATAAAGTTATGTTTGTATTCAATTGTTTATTTTTGAAGGTATTCATGTTCATTTATTTATTATTTGCGAACATGTTTGTTTAATGCTAGTGAACATGTTTATTTATATGTTTAGAAATGGTAAAATTGCGCCACTGGTCCTAAAGCTCTTTAGGCCTCACAATTTGAACTTCAAAGTACACACTATGTTCAGTTTAGTCCACATCTTCACCAATATTTTAAATGTAAAAAAATAAAAGAAAGCGAGAATCGAATAAACAAGTCCATAAACGAGATTATCAACAATCGGTTTGTTCGTGAACATAAACGAAACAAACACACATTTATTCATATTCATTCGTTTATTAAATGAACATATAAATTTCGTTAATACTCATTTATATTACTTAATAAACGAATGTTATATGAATTATTCACAAACAGTTCATCAAACGCTATACTCATTTACATCCCTTACCTTTATCTTCCTTCATCAAATGATTTATGAGCTTTGCATACAATTTAAACTTAACATTATCGCATGATATCATGTGTGAAAATTTAAACTTTATAAAAATAAAAATGGAAAATAAAAACGAATAATAAATTTATAATTTTAAAACGTTTTACTCAAGTTTGCTTGATTTTATTTGAAACGACAGTTGAAGGGCAAATGAATTGTGGCCCAGAGTTTGGCCAAGTTAACCCAATAAGTCCCAAAAGGCGAAAGCTCAAGAAATCCTTAGATTGGACCAAGCAAGGACTGCCCGTCTGCCCCCGACTGGCTTGCTCTCTTTCTTTAAATACACCCGAGTCAAGTAATCGTATTCAAATATTGGGATTTGGGATCTGAGGAAACACGGAGACTGTAACTTAAAATCGGAGCGGAAACATGATACACCGGAAATGGAGTTTGCTAACTGGCCCAGTATTCATCATCGGCGGCGTCGTGGGAGTCACCGTTCTCGCCCACCTCCTCTTTGTTGACGTAATTTCATTTGCCCTTATATTTTTCCAGTTTTAAACCTAGTTGCACATGTAAAATCGTTGATTAGTAATACTACTTCTCGCTTTTAGGAATTTCATTTGGGTTTGCCAAACATAAAGTCTAAACTTTGATCTATCAGAATAATTGCTGATTATGATGCTAGAAAACATATAAAATTAGGAGGATCAACTTGCCAAACATCGTAATTTGATGAACATGAAGATTTAGATGATTTTTTTTTTAGTTTTCTTTGTATAGGTTATAGATAATCTAGATTCACTATTCCAAGTCGATTCGTCATATTGAAGTATACGTTTCTTTTGCGTGTTTGAACTTTGGTTTACAGTGACTTTAATGAAAAATTAAACTTGAGAGAATGAAAACATGGAATCTCCATTGGAGATTGAAAAGGGTGAGTTTAAATGAGCACATGATGTTTTTCCATGCTAATTATGTTAAAATTGTCCAAATTCATGTTCCTTAACAATTGAATATTCACAGGATCCGTATCTTAATCCAAAGAAGAAGAATGATTCACCACCACCAAGCAAGTAGAAAGAAGTCGATGGCATTTAGGACTTGTTTTTCTTCAGCAAAAGGTGGCTGTTGGGAACATGAGTTGTTTGTTCAATAATATCAAATCTGATTGTTGTGGTTGCTTCTCTTTTTTCTTTCTTAAAACCACTTGCATTGATTCTCAATATTAATGGTATGTAGAATAAGTTTCATAACTATACTTCATTTACGAAGATAAATAATATTTCAGTGCTTTGCCAAAACCAGCCCTCTCCCCTTCTTTTGGGCCTTTAATGTTGTACGATTTTCGCTTAGTCAGTTTTGTTTACAGAGTAACAATTATGCGAAAAGTAAAGGAGGTTTAAATGGTAAGTTTGATTTATAATGAATCATCCACCAGATAACAACAAATTCATTATGCAGCTGCTCTTGGAACTTTCAAGCCAAAACCGCGCTTTGCTTTCTCCACTGTTCAAAATACAAAGAATCTATTATGAACGGAGATACGTGTACACGGTTATAATGGGCACACAATGAAGCAAGAGGAGAGCTTTCAAACAGTCTACAGAACTGCACAATGTCTATATGCTTTCCTAACACTTAATATTCATGACAAGTAGACTACATCAATGACAAAATCATGTTCCAATCATGTACCATTCTTAATGAAAAGGAATGTTGGAATGATGTACTCACGTCGGGGCAAGTTTGCCAAGGCTCTCTAGCTCTTCACCGGTCTCCTCGTCCAGAACCCTGCCTGATATCTCAATGATGTAAGATCTGTCCCTGTTGGTCGGATTCCCTCGACTAATGAGCAAATCAAAATCTTTCTGACGGATTTCTCTCCCGTTTCATAAATATGGTGGTTCCACCGGCACAATTTTCTGGCATTGGATAATTAAGTTCTTCGATAAAACGCTGCAGTAGAAATTCTGTTTTGGCAAAAACCAAACAACAAAATGATTAACTAATAGTATCTTGGGTAAAAAAATTATTCAATCTTACAGGAATTATGCCAAGATAATGCCCGCCGAGAACACCCCAGAATCCTGCTCGGAAATCATACCTGATTTAGTCATGTGTAACACAATAATGTCAAATGTTTAAATTAAATACACAAGAAACTACAGAAAGAATATCGACGAATGCTTACCTATGCTTTCCAAGAAGAATTGTTCCAGCCATCTTTTCAGCTTTTTTGACCACACCATCAGGGATACGATGCCGTTAACCGAAACATTACTTTTCCAACGTTCCTCGGTTTGATTAAATCTTGAGAGATCCTTAAAACTCTTCTAGATAATTTTTGCAAAAAACGATTCACCTTCTTTTGCCATTTTTGGTTGATCAACTTCTCTAATTGCATCCCCTGAATCTTGAGAAATCCCAGTATTAGAGTACTTATTGAATGACACCTCCATCTCAGTAGGTAATGCCTCCTTTAAAGAATTTTGTCGTGTGGTAACCTTGTTTGACATAACTTTCTCCCATTCAGAGCGGCTATTATGATTTCCTTTCCCGAATCGGTTGGGTACATGATTGGTAGAAGAGTAATCAAAGTGCTCTTGAAGAGGTAAGCCTGCAGGCGGAGACAATGTGGACTTGGTTGGCTGCTGAACAGGACTTACTCCCTCTCGTGAAGGAATCAAAACATCTGGATTGTTTTCATCCTCAGAGGTACTTGGAGATGAAGAATGTAAGCTTTTGCCTTTCCTGAGGTTTGACTGCAATCGAAGCCTGGCCGCTTGATACTGCCACAGGTTCTCTGTCCATTGGCTGAAAATCATCATAACCTGAATGATCATAGTCATCAGAGGAGAGGAGAAGTTAGTAGCAATTCGGTTGACACGGCCTTCATTAGAATTATCATCAACATCTACAAAAAATTCCTTTTGTTTCTGCCTGATTACAAAGAAAAATCTTCTTGTTGATGACAGTGAAGTTTATCACAGTTGAACAGGCTTCCACACCGCAATTTATGTTCATTGTTCATCATGAGATGCACTTTCGTGGGCACTTGTAGCAATTCAAAGCAATTATAACACATTATAAACGGAGCACCGCCAGCTATAGGATGAACATGGCGCCCATCACCGGCTAACACTACCCTCTGGGGATGACAACGAAAAAAACCATCAATTTCTCAGTTAATATCACTCGGCCATCTACCATGGGCTTGTGTACCATGCATCCATCAATGGGGGCATTGCAGTCCTAGAACTATGGGAACGTGAACTAAAAGACCCAGGGTTGTCAATATGGTACAATGGGTTACCAGGAACATCATGTAACCTTTTCTTGCCAAATGAACCAGGAGGAATAGGTGCTGGAACTCGCTGATGTTTCTCATAACAATGAAAGCAAGAACAGGAAGTCTGGTGCAACACTGGGCTTCGTGGAGATGGCATAATTGGGTCATGACTACTTTCATTGTACTGCCCAGAAAAGTATGGATAATGTGGACGTTGGTAGTCTCCCAGGGAACTGGTGCGGAGCTCTTCCAAGCATTTTAGATCCAAAAGGATCTCCAAATGCAGGAATATGATTCGGATTGTGCATTGGAGGATACATCTCGTGCCGAGTCATATCCTGCTAAACGGAACAAGCATATGGTTCCGGAAAATAGCTAAAATAAGAGGGCCCTGCTTCTGCAGGACGTTTATCAGGTCCAAAGAAAGGCATTGAGGGCTTCCGTGATCCTGAAGAACCATTGGGAAACCAGCTATCAGCACCACACTCTGGAGGAACAACCCTCCCATCAAGCGGAATTTTCTCTTTTGGTTTATCAATTACATCACAAGACCGGTTAAGTTGCTCCTTTAGCTCATCTAGCTTCCTCAAAAGCTCAGCTGGATCTTGTTCGAGGTGAATTCTACCAGAACCACCCAGGTCAGTTCGATTCTGCAACAATTCACTATAACCATAATAAGAATCCAAATTAAGGTTTGATGGACCTTCATCTGGAAGTTTTGAGGTAGAAGATCGCACACCTTCAACAACAGGTATCGGAACTCTCTGAAACTGCTCCATCTCTTCTTGCTTCCCAGTTTGCCAACCAGACATCTGACCTAGTCTATGTGATCTACCAGTATATCCAATATTGGAATCCACCTGCTGTTGTCTTACAATAGAATTCACTATTTCATCCTTGTTCCAGCTAACAACATTGGCATTTTCAACAGACCATTTATCACCAGCAACCTTAGATTCATTAAAGTCTACTATTCCCTTCTCCGAGGAAGTTTGGGATTTGTCAGAAACTCTACCAAGCTTGTCTTCTTCCGACGTCGTCTGAGACTATTAAAACTTTGATAAAACAACAATAAACCGAAGTCAAAACCCTCGAGTGGTTTCACTATTTTGATTTCAACAAAAACTAATCCAGAGAGTTCTGTGATGACCATAGCAGGTTCTGATATTCGAAAATAATGAGGCTCTGGCATGGCCTCCATTATGGAATCTGCTACCCTCCCACTTTACTCGTTACTGTTTCTTTTCTTCTTTTTTATCCTATATAGTAATTTAATTTTGGATAAATTTCACTCGTGATCCCTTTTATTTTATGCTTATCTTATTTTAGTCACTAATTTGAAAAATATCATTTTGATTATTTACGTTATCAGATCATTACATTTTGGTCATTAAATCGTTAACTCTTATTAGCTTAATAATGTTATACTTTAGTAAAAATGGTAAAAATTTATATAAATTAAATTATTATCATTATAATATAAACATATTATGATATAGATTTAGATTTTTGACATCCTTATTTATAAATAAAGATAATGCTAAATTATTATTTTAATTTATTTTAAAAAGAAGTTGAAGTGTTCTAGATTAGGGTCGTGAAGTTCAAGACATTTTTGATAAAATAAACATTAGATTCTCATTTGGAGGTAGAAAAATGAGAGAATTGGAAATTTTGGGGTCTAATGGTTATCGACAATGACGGTCAGTGGTAACCAGTTACGACAATTGACAGTGATCGATAACGGTGATGAGCGGCGATCGACAACGAGAACTTTGATTGAATTCAGAGGTTAAATTGATATTTTATCTTAAGGTTAAAGGTTAAATTATAAACATATACAATCACTTCATATTAATTAAGAAAATGAAATTAAATAATAAGAACGAGACAAATAATTGATGGTGAATACTTTTAGAGTAAAATGTGACAAATAATAATATAAATACAACTTTTATGTGAAAGAAAAACTAGAAACAGGTATGGTTTAGGATTCAATTTACGAGTGAATTGCATGGCCCATGACCAGAAGCATTTAGGCAACGACAGGCCCCATTTGCACACAACACGGCTGGCTCACAATCTGCCTTTAAAATCTTTCTCTGACCCGATTATCTTCTTTTCATTTTTAGTACTATTTTATGAGTGAATTGTTTAGGATATAAATATAATCGGGTCACAATTTACGAGTGAATTGTTTAGGATATAAGTATATTTGATTTTATTATTCGAATCTCATTTTATTTTTTAATTTAAATCAAATATATTTATTTGAATTTCTGTTCAAATTTAAATACACTTATTTACAATATTATGATATTGATTGATTTTTTAATGACTCTCTCTGTAAACAAATACAATATATATATTTATATTTTGTTTCACATGCACGTAAGTAAAATTTATAATATTATTTAATAAATTAAATAATATCTAAAAATATATATTATATTTAATATTTTTTTAAAAATAGATTTTGAGAAAAAAGTATTGATATATATAAATGATTCAAAGAATTGATTGAAGGAAAGAATTTGCAAAGAGTTGTAGTCGGATGATCAAACTGAATAAAATAAAGTTGGGAAATTAAATTGAAAAATATAAAGTTTATTGTAAAAAGATATTGAAATTATAAGTATTTTACCGTGGTTGGAGGAGCGTGAGGTTCAAATTTGATCAAAATTGAACTTAAATTATAGGAGGAATTGAAAAAATAAGAAAATCGGGAATTATATAAATAAGAAATTGTACTTAGCTAAAGATCAAAACAATTCGAACTTTATAAATTCAAATTCGGCTCAAAATAAAATTTCAAACAAAAAAAGTTATACTAACTCAAATAACTCAAAATTAAAATCGAATTTTACCACCCCTATATGAAATAGATTGACTTTGTAAACTTCTTGTGTGCCAAAATAAGCTCCACTGATGTCCCCCAACTTTATGAAGTTATCGGAAGCAGATTTATATTAGAAATACTTAATCAACAGTGGCCTTTTTGGTTCTACTGCTTTAAAGTGGTTGACTTAAAACACCCATATTGAAATGTAACTGGGTTCCTTTCACATTGAAGATACAGTGTCTCAACTCTCTACCTAGACAGAACACAACGATGATTTAAGGGACATCTGTGCCTTAAACTTGTTAGAATCTCCAACACCAGAAGAAAAAAATCATTGCCTTCTCCACAAAGAACTGTTCCTGCGTGTTATTAACATAGAAAATGGGAGCAAACTTATCGTTGGTATATCAAATCTGAAAATATTATTGGTCTAAAGCTTCATGTTTGAACAAGAAATAAGAAAAACAGGCATGGACAAGAAAGAAACATAGTCTCCAATTATTATTTTGTATATCTACTTGTTGCACAAGCAACTGATTCCAGACCTTAACTTTATAGCCTCATCCCTCCTTTTTCCAAACCACCTTCTCTTCAAAAACTTAATGCGTTGAAGTTGTTCGAAGCTTCTCATCAGAGAAGACTCCTTGGCTATGGATTTGCTAGTGGGATCTGCAATTGTAGTTGTGGTGACATCGGACGGGCTAGAAATGCAGGGGGTCGGCGTCTTCGGATCGTATCGAATAGGCAGTGTCATTAGATGGCGGTCGATTATATGACTGAGTGATGCCAATTCGTATGAGTCATATAAAGAGCTGCCACAATCCCATATAGCAAATGCTGCTGCGTCTTCATTTTTTCCCGTGGTCTTAATGCTGTTCATTTGAGTTTTTGAAAAAGAAATAAATGTGGGTTGTCAGATTGTTTTGCAATGCATATTTGTAATCAGATATTATGTAGAATATTTTGTATCCAAAACTTTAAGTTGGCCTGTCCAAATTTAATGTCAATCTTTTTACGCTGTGAAAATTCCAAATGCTTGTTTCTTGCGCTATGGATTCGAGACACCAACCACGTTAAGGTGCAACAGCTCAATCCACCAACCCCTTTGTATGTTAGCTGCTTCAATATTAGATATTTCATATACATTGTTTCCACAATTATAATTTTGCAAATTTTAACTTATTTTGGTTTCCTTAGATTCTTTTTATAAAATATCTTTAAAGGTTGTCTTAAGTTTTCTAATAATGATTTAGACAATTAGAAGAAGAAGCAAATCTACCAATATCGCCATTCACACGTTTTCAACTAAAAAAACGTAATAAAGAGATTAGACACTCAAATAAAGAGAAGACGAGACTGGAACACACAATGACGAATCCAAAAGTTT